TTTAAACCCTCCATGGTTCAGCTTGAGCAGGAAGTTTAAAATAATACATCAGTAAAAGTTTTGGTCAGAGCAGAAGTTTAACTGGATTTAATTTAAATACAAAAACATCAACTTCCTGTTTCTTCTGTACTTCCTGTTTCTTCTGTACTTCCTGTTGTTTCTTCTGTACTTCCTGTTTGTTTCTTCTGTACTTCCTGTTGTTTCTTCTGTACTTCCTGTTGTTTCTTCTGTACTTCCTGTTTGTTTCTTCTGTACTTCCTGATTGTTTCTTCTGTACTTCCTGTTGTTTCTTCTGTACTTCCTGTTTGTTTCTTTGTTTCTTCTGTACTTCCTGTTTGTTTCTTCTGTACTTCCTGTTGTTTCTTCTGTACTTCCTGTTTGAACACAAATAAGACAAAAGACCAGTTTTAAACGTTTCTTCTTTTACAATGTCTGACTGGAAATCAAACTATTGTCCTGAACTGGAAACAAGGGATTCAAATATTTACAATGAAACATGTTTCAGTTTGAAGGAAAAGTACTCAAATGTACTTTTAGAGTAAAAAACTAAGTTTTATAAACTTTGATTGTTTTAAAGAGATAATGCTACATATTTTATGCATTTGCTGTGGAGCTAACACAAAGCTAAAAGGCTAAAGCTGAGGTCTTGATGTAAACTCTCTAAGTTTGTGTTCATTTGTTTTTGTTTTTTGAACAGTGTATTCTTGTTTTGTCCTCATATTTATGTTGTTTTTCATCATCAAACCTGCTGATTTAGTAAAATTCTGCAGGTTTTTTGTATTTTGGGGTTTGAAGCTCAGAATTTCACTCAGTTGGTTTAAAAAAACCACAGTTGATGAAAGTTTGTCCTGAACGTTTCCTGCAGCGGTGAAGACTTCCTACAACATGTGGCTGGGCCTGACACTGGCGCTGCTTTCGGCCTTTCTGATTGGTGGAAGTGTCATTCTGAAGAAGAAAGCTCTGCTGCGATTGGCCAGCAACGGCCACACCAGAGCAGGTGAGCCTGACTCCAGGTGAAGGTTTAATGTTTCACCTGTCAGAAGATCCATGAATAAAAACTTTAAACAGATTCATGTAAATTAATGGAAATTATTTTATTTTTGTTTTAATAAATGTTCTAATAATGATGCTACCACCACCGTGCTGAACACTGGCTCCAGTGTTCTTGTTGAGTTTGTTTCAGAGTAGAAGAGCAGGACGAACCAATAAAACCGAGTGTTTCTGCTGGATTTGTACCTGTAAAGCTGATTGTTGTAAAGATAAGGATGTAACCTGATCACCGTCCTCTCTTCAGTGTTGAAACTTCCAGGAAGTCCCGTCTGACTGAAGAAACGTCTGTTAATGTTTCATGCAGGTGACGGAGGATACGGCTACCTGAGGGACTGGCTGTGGTGGGGCGGCCTGCTGACCAGTGAGTTTTATATTTCATTCTGAGCGTTTCACAGCTCAGCGCGACAGAAACACAACCTGACGGATCCTGAGTCAGGAGATCATGTTCTACAGAACCCGTCTTCAGGAAGTTAATTAGGTCTGAAGAACAGAACATGGTGCAGTTTAACACAAAGCTGCAAAACGACACAGAAGCAACTGTTTCTGTCAATCTGGGAGGGGTCAGAGGTCATTTAGAGTTTATTGTTTTAGAGAGGAAGAGTATTCYTAAGTGGAAACATTTCAAACAGCTGGCATGTATGGCAGGCCATTTATCATAAAATCACTGTCACCACATTTACTTTCTACATAGAGAAAGGCCACAGCTCCTGGAAGCTGCWTCTACAGTGGAGGCCCTGAACACGGCCCACCATGCCCCAGACAACYTAGCCCCCGGGATCATGGGGGTACTCTAACCCCTCCACCACMTTAAGGTGGCGGTTCTGCGGCGGGGATGTCTAGAATGTAATTTCAAATTTTATATGAAAATGGCCTGCCATAGAGAATCTTCACCCTGAAGGTCAGACAGTGCAGTGAGCTCCATCTCAGACTCTATGTGTAAAAACATCGGAGACTTCATCACAATATTTCTGCTGGTTCATGAGATATTTTGCTAACAGAGGTAAACATGATCTCCCTCCTTTCATGGCATTATATTTAAAGATTTATGTTTTTTATGAAATGTAAACTACATTTAAAACGCTCTTTATTTAATGATAAATCAGTCGTTTGATGTGAGACATCGTGTGTTAATGTGCTTACAGTGGGGGCGGGGGAGGTGTGTAACTTTGCTGCCTACATGTTCGCCCCGGCCACGTTGGTGACTCCGCTGGGCGCTCTGAGTGTCCTCCTCAGGTCTGACAGGAACCAGAAAAGTTTCTTTGTTTTTCTGACGGACAGTCGTTGATGTTTGGTGTGTTTCTGGTTTCAGRGCAGTTCTGTCCTCCTACCTGTTGGGGGAGGTGTTGAACGTTGTCGGGAAGCTCGGCTGTTTCCTGTGCATCCTGGGCAGCGTTTTGTTGGTGATTCACGCTCCACAGGAACAGGAAGTGAAGTCACTGCAGGAGATGTCCAACAAGCTGCTGGAGCCCGGTGAGAGTGCACGCTGGGAAATGTTCCCGCCAACACTGTGTTAAATTGATATAAGTGTTAGAATCAGGTCAGCAGGGATTTCTGTCAGAATCAGAGAAATGTATCATGTTTGCACCAAAACCTTTATTTTGAAAGTTCCCTCTGTGTGTTGGTGGCTGTTAGGTTTCCTGGCCTACGTTGTGGCAGTGCTGGTCCTGTGTGCGGTGCTCGTCTTGTATTTCTGCCCTCGGTCTGGTCYGTCCAACATCCTGATCTACATCAGCATCTGTTCGCTGCTGGGAGCCTTCACCGTGTCATCGGTGAAGGGCCTCGCCATCGCCATCAACACCGGTGACACGCCGCCTGCCGACTCAGACTGTAGAAAGATTGATTTTAACCCAACAAGAGTTGAAATTGTGGGAAATGTAACCTTGTGTTTCTTTTGGGTCAGTGGTTTATGATATTTCAGTGCTCGCTCATCCTCTCACCTGGATCCTGCTCCTGACGTTGATCGTTTCCATAGTAACACAGGTAAGATTACCTGTGTCACAGGCTGCTCAAACAACAGGCCCTAAAACTTTACAGGTTTTACACTTAAAGTGTTTGTCTAGAATATTTTAAC